GGGGCTCCGTTGGCAGGGCGCAGCGCCCCGCCAAGACAATGGTAGGGGAAACACTGCTGTTTATTGCTGACATACTGGTCCAGTAAGTAAGTACTCTTTGTTCCAGTTTTTTCAGCCAAATGCTTAGTGATACCTCAGTTTCAAATTCTTTTTGAGGGGCAAGGGCTCTACAGCGGGGTTATTAAGTGTTATCTGCGTGACAGAACAGGGATGGAAAGTGAGGACACTGACAGACATTACAAAGTGTGTGTGTGTGTGTGTGTGTGTGAGCATGTTGGGGCGATTCACACGGCTAAACACATCAGGTTCATCCACAGTCCAGCTCATCTCCTACTGTTCCCCACCTTACACTGCAAGTGTTCCATATCATGCCCATAAACGCACATACCATACCTTTTTTAAAGAGTGCATTTCTACTTCTGGTTCATTTTACAGTCATGGCTGGATATTTCACTGACACTAACTCTTAGTGTGTGAACGGGGTGTTTGTTTGTTTTCTTATTGAATATGCGGGGGAGACATTATCAACCAGATTGCTTGATTAAATCTGAAGAGCTGTCATACTGACTTCTTTAAGCTTGAGTCAAGCATTGTGTTCCTGCAGTGTGTGGTCTCACCCTCCCTGCTAAGGACTTTTTCAGGTAGATTTCTTTTGATCTTTTTATATTGTGACTTTATTTATCTTACTGTACCCACAGAGCATCTGTCCCTAGACCATTCTTATGTGTGCTTGCTTGATTACCACTATGTGTATTCCTCCTCCCAAATCCTTCTGTTATTTGCCCACTTTATCTTCTTCAGCTGTGATGCAAAGATCTTACCTCCTAATCCGCATTTCTCATAACAGAGCCCTAGTTAGTCAGTCAACCGACCATTGGGCATCCCAGCCTATCCTCAACACCGGAGTTTGACCAATAACCAACCTTATACAAGACCCACGCCTGTCTTATCCCTCTCTCTTCCTTATCTAATCATCTAGGAAAGGGATCATCCCAGCAGCCGTGTCCCCCCAGCAGCCCTATAACCTGATGGACAGATACAATCTGGGGTCTGTGGAGTTGTCACTCCTCAGTTGATGTGTGAATGACTGTGCTGCCTCGTAAAGTGCACACGCATGACTGAGGATGTATGGCTCTCATTTTATTACATTCACCCCTCTGTCTCTGAAGCGTTTGTGAGGGAAAAAGGGACTGCTGATTGAAGAGAAAACAGAGTCCTCATGCTGCATGGGAATATTTTGACATTTCCTTTTTCTTTATTGCCGTTACTTTCCCCAAACAACCACCTCCTCTGAGAGAAAAATGCTTTGAGTCTGCACCAGATGTTTCCCTCTGGAATAAAAAGAATCAGCTTCAATTAGTTGAAGCTGCAGTACATTTTTACTTTTTGAAAGGGGGGTGGGACTTTAATGCACTTTAATGAACAATTCTAGAGTACCACATGAGCGGCAGCAGTTTCCCTGCCCTGCTCTGTATCTGGCCCCTGACAGGTTATGGGGGGGGGCGGTGTAGTCTTCACCCTGTGCTCGGGGTTGGCTCAACACTGGTGGGCTCTAGCTTCTCTCTTCTTCTCTCCGACTGCCAGCAGTGCCGTGTTTTGGAAAAAGCCCTTACGATAAATAGCATTCCAGGTTTTGTGTGCTGCGCGAAAGGTTATGTTGTCTTTATTGGCTTGACAGACGCCTACAGCCTCTGTAAACAAAATGGAGATGTCTGTGTGAGGCAGCAGGTGGAACGATCTGTCATCCAGTCCATGGCTATCACTCTTTCTCAATCACTCTCAACACACACACACATTTGAAAACGTACTGTAAATGGCAGCAGCCTTCACACTTCTCATATACGTGGCTTTTGCATTTTTTCCAGCAAGTGATTTTTGTTTTTTTAAACAGCTTTGGTTTATGTGGATTTAAACACAACTATGCATCAAACAGAGTTTTATTTGACCCTTGCCAGTTCTCACTCAAACCATATGTCTTTGGCTGGCATTTGTATCACATTGTTAGACTTATCCAAACACAGTTGAGTGTGTGTGTCTGTGAGTTTGTAGCCGGTCATGGAGGAATCTCTGCCTGGCTGTGAGCAGCAGCCCTGCCTGTGTGTTTATACTCCTCTGCTGACCCCGTGACCCAGAGGTCAGGATGCTCACTAAAGCAAGCAGAGGTTCACAGACACATTTGGACACGCTCTGTCTGGTGTGTGTGAGAGAGGTTGGCTAAACATGTTTGTGTGTAGTCAGGTAGTTCAATAAATACATGAGGAGGTTTCAGGCTCTTGAAGTCACGTAGCTCGGTACTTCAGTTTGTCCTCTTCTTATTTAACAGTTTATTTATCTCTCTTCTTTTCATAATCTTTTTTCTGTATTACTCAGCATCCCTAATAAACCTTTCACAAAGCCCTGGAAATAAATAAAGCTAGTATATTGTTACATTTGAGATTATGTGAAGGGAAGTTGTGAGCAGCCGTCCTTGCAATGTCAACAGGGTCAAAGGTGAAACGTTCCACCTTGTTTTAATATAAACAATTTGATTTTGTCCGATCATCGTCCACTTGTCTCTAAAATACAAAGAATGCCGAAATACATGACTCTTTTTTTAGATTATAGGGAATGGAAAAGGCAAAATAAAAAAATAAAAATTTGGGCGGGCGTTTTAGGCTATCACTTCACAGTAATTTATTATCTTAATTTAGCATTGTGTTTTTTTTTTTTTTTTTTACAGGTAAATTATTTGGTGGTTTAATGGATAAATCACATTTGCTTTTATGACAGTTATTTGTTTTTTTAAAACAAAATGTACATTCTAAACATTTTGCATTTAATTCATCCTTTTTAATGGTCTGAGTTGTGTAATGTGTTCAAATATTTCCTGAAAGCTTCAGACATGCCTGTCAGGCTGATTTACAGGTCTTCTGTTCACTCTTGCCTCACTCTGAAACACTGAGCTGCCTAACCTTATGTTCATGAGAATGACTGTAATGTTGATATGATCAAGATCTATTGCAGCGGTGAATGGTGTTGATCACATAATATGTTTTGACGGATAGATATTTTATGAGGGATTGAGTTTGATGAGTGTAAATTAAATTCCCTGTCTGTCCGCAGCACTGTGCGCACATGGGACGTGAGCTCGGAGAAGAAGCACAAGTCCGTGTTCAAGCCGCGAACCTTCCAGGGGAAGAAGGTCATCCCGACGAGCTGCACCTACAGCCGCGACGGGAAGCTCATCGCAGCCGGCTGCCAGGATGGCACCATCCAGATCTGGGACAGAAACCTCAGCGTGAGTCTTCAAACACAAACAATGTGCAGTTGGTTGTAAACATAGTATGTCTGATTTGTTATGGCCTCGGGTACAGAGTCATGAGACATGGGTCAGCCGGTCACAGGCCACAGAGGGGTCAGAGTTCAACAAGTCAGGAACACTGACCAGAATTGAAAATGCCTGACTTTAAAATGCATTTTGTCCAAACCGGGAGTAGTTGAGAACATTATTAAATAGCCTGTCTTTCCTGTTTTGACCCATAGACTGTATATATAATACATAATGAGTTTTGACCCCATTATCACAGGTTGCTCTTATTCCATCTAAACTCTGGAGAAACAGCCTACAGCCATGTTAGAAACTCTGTGAGGCTGTACTTAGTTACAGCGGAGCTAAATCATGCTAGCATCTACAATACTAGCATGATGTTGAGCAGCTGTGATATTGATCCATTTTAAAACATTACTTGTGTGTGTTAGCATGCCAACATTCGCTAATAAGCACAAGTAAAGCTCAGGCTGAAGAGAGTTGTGCAGCTATTTGGCCATAAACCAAAGTATTGGGAGAATTTGATTAAGACTTTGGATCTGATGATAAAACTCCAGGGATAATCATAGTGATCTAGAAGTTGTTTGTTTAATTTGACTGCACTAGGACTGACCATCAGCCTGCCATTGCTTTCCCTAGAGTCATACCCCCAGCGGGGCTCAGAATAGCTGATTATGTAACTGACGTATGATGGTTGAGTCGAGGAAAGTTACTGGGAGGGCCAAACACAATTTCCCTCTGTATGTTTTCCTCTTTAGTAAATTAGACTAATTAAATGTTCATTACTGTTTCCAGCATTCACAATGTTGAGGTAATAGTTGATATTGGCTCCCAAGAAGCATTGCTTTCTTTTACTTGGTTGTTTTCACTTATTTGACGAATCAGTGGATTAAAAGGACTTCCATTTTGGGCTGCAGAATGCATGTCCTCCATCTTTCATCGAGGAGAGATTCCGGGTCTCTCCTTTGTTGTTTCACCTTAACTCATTTCTGCTTATTACCCATGAGCCTCTCCTCTTGATGCCTGTCACAGTGACACATCTCTGGTTAGTGTACGGGCATTAAAGGAACATGTTTCGCAGCTTAAAGCTCACTCGCAAAATTCATCCCCACTAGACAGATGTGAAGAATCGTGAGAGGTGCTTCCTGGTGAAGAGGGGGCTTTACATTGGGGATATGAAGTAGTCATAATTCATTATTTTTAAAGATGACATATTGCAAGCGTCATTCCAGTTAGGTAATGTCTCGTATTATTTCTAACCTTTTTGCAAAATAGTTTCACAAGATTAAATACGATGTGAGAAATCCTTAGTAGATTCTCAGCTGGGAGCCTTAAAAAAACAAAAATAAAAATTTGATAGAGGACTGCCTGGAAATGTTTTTTTAGTACTTTCTAAAACACCCAGTATCAGGTCAAAAAACCTTTGGAACAATAGAGTGCCACAGTGACGCGTCCTAAACTCCGGAAGTAAACTCCTTCCGGTTCCTTCGACAAAAAAGCAATGCAATTTCTCCATAGGATTTTGGAAAATAGCTGGAAATAAGGTCTGTGGTTGACACGCATTTAAGAAACGGATCACGTTAATATCCACATGTCTACCCTACTTTTATAATTTTCGAATCATAAATCTAGTCGCCAGAAGCAAAAATGCTAACGCTATGCTATAACAAACTACAGCAGGGTCGCTGCTTCAACGTCATGCCGACTTAAGATCCATATTCAAGAATACAGATTCAAAATTGTACAAGTTGAAGCGTTTGTTTTAACAGTTTGCAGAACACGGAGAAAAACAAACTTTGAGGGAGTGTTTACCTGTTAAGTGTAATGACGTACAACGGCCTGGACAACTTCTGTAGTCTTATTCAGCCACTTGTTAACAACCATCGTTTTTCAGACACGTAAACTCTTAAAAAATCACCAGTGGGGTCGCTGCTGATGTATTTAATGTCGTAGAACAAAACGTGATCCGTCTCTTCAATTTGTGTCAACCACAGACCTTATTTCCAGCCATTTTCCAAAAGCCTACGGAGAAATTGCATTGCTTTTTGGCGAAGGAACCGGAAGTGGTAAAAATGCTAACTTACTTCTGAGTTTTAGGACGCGTCACTGTGGCACTTTTTTATGAAATGTGAATAATAGGTGTTTTTTCTGCCCCCCAAACAATTCGGCACACTTTTACTCTTGTTTTGTTCCACTTCATTTCATCTGTCCGACCCCGTGTGTGGACAAGGTTGAATGATTCTGTTGTTTCATCTGAGAATAGTGACAGTGACAATTAAGCTGCAGTTAGTGAGTTGGAACAGCTTGATTGGAGAGAGGGGCTTATCCAGATTAGTCGAATGAGAAGTAGGCTACGCGATAATTACTCCGACAGTCAACTTCGTAATCAGAGGACGCACAAAAAAATGTATTCAGATGGAGAATTGCTATTGTGGGAGCTTTTGTGCTTCAATGTAGACTCACCCATCATCCCACCCTCCCACCAATTTAAAGCTCTCCACATTTATTACCCCTCTTTCTCCAAGCTAAATATTTACCCTGCGTACCATAGCAGCTTACAATAGTCGCGTCTGTTGCCTGACCACTGGAGCCTGACTGGTGGGTGCCCTCTGCCCCAAACTGCAACCTGTGCTGCTGACTCCAATCCAGCCACAATCCTAAAAAGGAGTTGACCTCGCTACGCTTTTATTACTGCGCCCTCCCCCACTCGAAGCAGGCCCATCTCCCGTTGTATCGCCTACTATTACTCACGGCCGGAATATGCAGGCAGATCAATCAAAATCAATCGTGTACATGACCTTGAGCTCGAGCTGAGCCTGAGTAGAAGCTATTGAGGATGACACATCATGCTCTTGAACCCTGACTAAGCTGATTGATCCTGCGATGGAAGTCAAGTAGGTCTCTTTTAGTGGACTGCCACAGAGAGTGATTGCATGCTCATTCTCTGACCAGAGGGGTCGGTGCCAGAATTACAAGACTGCGTTTAAATGGTTGCCAGGTAATGTGCACTCTGTGAAAGTCCGTGCGTTGGGGGGGGGTGCAGGCCTTCGCTCAAAAACGTTACCACAGAGACCTGGGGAATGTTATGATGTCACTGGTGGACTTGGATGTTTCCAGACTTCAAAGAGGGACCCCAGACGAGGTGGGTTTGATGGACTACTCCTTTGGGGAGTGTATCACGAGATGATGGCAAACTTTCTCTTTTTTTCTGCTTTTGCTGGCTTTGTCACATCAGTCCTTATTAATTGGAGAAACCAGAGATGCCCATGAAGTTTAAAATAAGTATGTTAAATGATTTAGCCTCATTTTTGTCTTCAGCCCATATTGTTCTTTGTAAACTCCACTCAACACTAGGTTTTTAATCTCATCACACACACGGCTTATTGTCAACTGCACCAGTCACACCATTTACAGTTACTGGCCTAATAGGACGCTCAACACAGTAATGCTATCCTGCACAGCATCACTGTAAACTACTAACTCTGAGGCTCGTAAAAGTTTGGGCTGTGGAAGATTAAAACTGAGAATTACAAAGGACTCTCTCCAAGTCTAATAAAAATGTTTAGAAAACAGTCCAGGCTGGAGTGCATACAGGGGCCTCATATCATGAATATGTCTCCATGGAAGTGTTTATAAAGACGGTTTGATTATAACCATTTACGCTGGATCTCATCCTGCAGCTTCCATTGTAACTCTTCCACCTCTCTTTTTATACACGTGAGGTAAAAAGTTACTAAATGAACTTCAAAAATGTTTTTTATTAAAGTGAATTTGTCTGCTTTCAGTTTAGTGCTCATTCCTCACACACACACACACAAAACAAACCCGTAAACAATATGTACAGGATCCTACATGTTGCAGTGTGTTGCTGAGAAATAGATCAATCAAGTCACTTCAATGGAACACAGTGTCAGATTATGTGGACACACACTCTACTGTGATCTGCTTACACACACACAGCTTCGCCATCACCACTTGTGGATTTCCATGAAAGATCAGAGCAGCTGCTCAGGACTGCGGTTTGGCCACTTGATCCTCAGAAAGTAACAGAGGTCAGAGTGAGATGTTGCTGCACAGCGGGCATCATTCAGTCTTTCAGGTGTATGCACTTGTAACAGTATGAAGGTTGGTGAAAGTCAGTATTTATAAAATGAAACAGAGACAGTGTGGTTGGAACAGTTGGTCCTGTGGTAGATTGTTAGCATAGTCTGCTGCGGATGAAACCCAATGCTGTGGTCCATCAGCTATTTATCAAACCCTGCTGCTCTATGGGTGTAGATGTGGATTAAAGGCTCCGTTTGTGAGCATGCACATGTTAGTCAGAATCAGAATGAGAATCAGAATACCTTTTATCAGTCCCACAGAGGGGGAATGTACATTGTTACAGCAGAAAAGAGCCAAAGACAGCATAAAACAAATATTAAAGATACATGTGCATATGCTTCTATGTATTGACAACCTTATATGAAATGGTATTCATGCATACCTGTGTGTGAAATTGCACACTCTGGCTGGCCATATAAAATGAGTTTAGGCAGAGGAGAAGGGCACAGTGCACAGAGGAAGTCACGAGGCGCTAGAGAGGCTTCAAACTGTGTATGAGAATCGGGTTTCACAAACCGGCTGTGTAGATTATCACAGGAAGCAAACTCCATGGCATCTTCCAATGCCAGCCAACATCAGGATAGTAAATAAACACTCAGGCTTTCACAACAGCAGTAAATGATCTAGAAATAGCTGGAGGAGTGTATGTTTGCAATAAGCAGATAGAATAACCACAAGCTTCCCTATTGAAGACACTGCTCTTACATACTGGGTTATTTATCAAACTGAGATACTTCCTATAATGTCCTGCCATGTTTTATTTTACCCATTTAGCACCCTTGTGTTTGTTTTCTTTTCATAATACACTCCAGAGTTGAACGAGGTGTGCCTTTTCTCATTCCACCTTTTTCTTATTAGGACGAGAGAATATTTAAAAATATATATAAATTGATATGAAGAATATAGTCATTTTCAGTCGAAAACAAATCAGACACTGAAGACAGACAATACGTCATAACATTTCAACATAAAAAGGGTTAAAGCACAGCGTGGGCTAGCAGCAGATGGGGTTCATTTTGGAAAGAAAGACATCCGATGAAAAGAGGAACAAAAAAAAAAAAATGTTTTTATTGAGTGCTGAACAAGAACTCATAACTTCACTTACCCGCTGCCCGAGGAAACGTGTCGCTATGTTGAACAACATGTGTTTTGTGGTTATGTTTTATTAAAATAGGCTTGTCTTAGAAGTCTATTTATGGTGTAATATCTACTTAAGATGAGCTGTATTTTCACCCTGCATCTCTCCAACATCTTTATTATTTTTCATTACACATATCTGCATGGACTATCCTCTCCGCCTTTATTGTATGCCATTGAGCTTCATGCGACAGCTCATAAGACGAGATAAATACCGTACAGGAAAACAGTTCATCAGCAGACCCTCCTGTTCATAGTCCACTGACCCCACCCAGCCTTTGTGCTGCCATGCATAGATAGATGCGCTTACAGTTATATGAATGGATATTTCGTGTGTTTGGAATCGTTCCCATTGTTCATGTGCACATGACACAGTGGTGACTGAGGTTGTTTTGATTGCATGATTGTTGCTGGGCCTCCTATTTCTTTTTTTTAGTCTGCTCAAATAAAGTAGGCAGTTCAGTGAGTCACCATGCGTTGTGTTTGGCGGGGTTAAAGCCTTACTTATTATGCTTTAGCTGCTCTGTAGCAGGCCTGAGATAGCTTAGCTGTTCAACTCGCTGTAAGATTCGAAAATGTTCTTTTTCATACTACAACGACCTTTTGACTTTTATTTCTCAATTCCAAGGCTGCGAATAAAATAATAGGAAGATTACCTAAGATAAGGAATGAGTAGAATGGATTTGAGTCAAAGGTAATATGATGATGGGAAGCAGGGAAGTATCCCTGGAGACGCTACAGAGGCTAAATGGCCATGGGCTGAAAAAGCAGAATCCGTGTTATCTACAGTTCAAGGTAACAGTGTTATCTGTCTCGTCCGAGTTAATAACTTCCCTCCATTTACTTTGAAAGTAAAGTATGGCCTGGTTTCCTTCTTGTATCATAAGGACACATCATTCATTCACCCCACGCTCCGCTCTCTTCTGCTCTTTGTGCCAGAATGTCTCTATCTTATCTGTCTTCCACACTCTGTGCTCACTTCAAATGACTTGTCCACCTCTCTGAGTGAAAAGCCCGTATTGCTGCAATTCTCTTTTCACTGATTTATTTGCATTCCGTTTGAAATTAATGAAAATGTAGCTGTATAAACCAAGGTTATGTTTGTTTGAGCGTTAGCAAGCCTGCTTCCCAGACGATTGCTTCATCACGGCCCTTTAATCATCGATCTGTGTAACCTGGCTGTATCTACGTAAAACTAAGGCAGTGGGAAGTAGATGAGGAAGAGAGAAGACACAGGCAGAAAGACATTGCGGTTCAAACCACTAGTTTATTTGTTTGATAATTAAAGTCATCCATCAAGCAAGAATGTCAAACATTTGCTGGTTTCAGCCTCCCAGATATTCTTAATGTGCTGCTATTCTTAGCTCTACATCTGTGTGCAGAGAATATCTTGTCTCAGATTGTTAGGACAAAACATCACCATGGGCTGAGCTTTTATTTTATTTTTTTAAACACAATAAAATAATTGAAATGTAGATGAATGTACTACGGATGTAATAACTAGTTGCTTCCCATCCATCCATCTTCTACCACTTATCTGAGTCTGATCGCGGATGTAGCAGTTTCAGTTGCTTCCCTCATTAGAAAATCAAGAGTTAAAAAGATCTAAAATCTCAATGCTACAGCTTTTTTCTTAGTCATAGAACATTTAATACACTTGAATTATACAAGCATGATACACATTCTAACATTGTTGATTTTGTTAACTGTTAATCTTCTCTTCCCATCTCTACATTACATACATACACATTTTGGGTGGCCGTGTACTTTTAAGAGAGCTTCTATTCTTGCTGTTCCTTTGTGTGTATGTGTGAGAAAGAGGGGGGGGGCGGGGGTCGTGGTGTGTTGAGCTGGGTTATTTCCAGCCTGGAGCGGCAGATCTTGGCAAACACACTCTCTGCCCTACAGTAGTACACCACTAGCTCTGAGTAAGGAAGGGAATCTCATGACTGGCCATGTTGAATACGTTACTTTAATTTTCAGCATTTCAGCAGTGGCTGTGATGATTTTTATTTGAATGTTATTTCTAATAGTTTCCAAACTGTCAGTTTCCGACACTTCTCCTGAAACTCATAAACGACTCATTTATCTGCTCTAACCCCATGAACTACAAAGGTGTGATTTCCCCCCCCCTTTAGCTTTTGTCATCAGTTTGTTCTCACCTTTATACAATGACCTCAGCTGAAATATCACTCAGCCTTCTTGGTTTTCAGTGATGCATGCTGATCATCTCAGCCAAGATGTGTAAGATGACATTCTCATATACAGCAACATGCCGAGGAAATAGTTACCAGGGCAAAAATCTCCTGACTGTGATTGGTGAATCGTTGCTCAGAGGGCTGTGATACTCAGTGTGTGGACCACCTCTTTCCATCGTGAGTTGCTGGGGCTTGTGTCGTTTTGTCTGGGCTTCAGAATTGTATATAACTTTAATTATATTTAGGGATTCAACTTGCTTATTGTCTTTATCAATGTATCTGCTGATAACGGTCCCAAACCCTAAGATATTGAGTTTATTATCAATTTAAACAAAGAAACAAATCAGTTTGAGATTTTTGTTGGGAGATCCATTATCAAACTACATGCAGGTTTATCTTCTTTCAGTTTTAGATAAATAATAATGGGACTCTTTCATCGGACACCTCCTGCTTTTTAAAAATCCTTTTAAATTCAAAACTCCCGGTTTGTAACTTGTGTAAACCCAATTTACCCTAACATTATTATATTTATATTATTATCATCAGATTAACTTGTGCTTTCTCAGCTTCGGCATACTATTTTCAAGCCAGAGAATACATTCTAAAACTTCCACATGTTCAATAGTCCTCACCATAACTAGAAACCTGACTTTGATATGTAACATTGTTGGAGTTGTACTTTAACTGTTCTAGGGGTTTAGGGGTTACTTATTTACTTCCAAGCCCAGACGTTGTTGATCAAACCGTTTTTTTTCATCTTAGTTTTCTCAACCTCAAACTGCTGCTGACTCCTGTGTTTTTTTACACATTGATGTTGTCCTGTTATAGGAGGGCTAATAATCAAAGAGAATCAACAAAGAGATGCTACCTAGCTCATGGCTTCAGGTGACAGGGTGGCTGATGTGCGTTATTGACTGGAAAACGACCTGAAGTTCCAATAGTTCATATTATTTCAGATAGCAGCAAAGTAGAAATCTGAATCTTCCAGACTTGGTGCCTACACGTGCCAAGGTACATTTCTGTGGTCTCTAGTCTCGCTAAAGAGTGCGGTGGGTACAGTGTAACGCTGCTGGTGTTTCATAAGACTTACTGGGCTATTCAGTGTGGTGTTCATAAAGGAAATGGAAACCTTGTGTTGCTTTGAAGACATGGAGAGTAAAAAAGGTCTTTGTGTTACTGCAGTGAGCGAAACATCTGCTACTGAAGCAAAGCATTGGCAGTTTGATACTATAGTGCACCGGGACCTTTATACAAGCTCTGTTTGATACTGATGAGCAGTAGGGGAAATGCAGTGGTAACCAGGACTGCACTATTTATTCATGTTGTTCTGTAATCATTGATCAATAACATCTTAGTTTTTCTTTGTAATTCCTGTGATAATTGATACATTTGAACAGCATAGAAATAAACCCCCTTGTGTATTTGCTAGATTATATCTACTTTGGTCACTTACAGATAACTATAATTAGAGAAAGCATGACCTTGATAAATGAATGTATTTACATTTATTTGACCCTTTTAAAGGTGGGGTAGGTCATTTTGGAGAAACCGGCTCGAGTGCGCTAGAATTTAAAAATACACAACCGGAAAAAATCTGCCACTTCCTTACAAAGCCCCTCCTCCAACACACACGAACGCGCACATGACCAATGAGGGCACGAGATAAGTTTGTGCACAGATGGAAGGCTGACAGGCAGGTAGGCCATCCAGTGCTTTTTACAGTACGGCTTCCACAGATGACATTTTTTAATGGATTTTTGGTCAAAGCACTTCAGATATTCATTGCTATCGGGATGTTAAGAGCATTCCATGGAATATAACAAAAAGTGTATCGAGCCGGTTTCTCAAACTTACCTACCCCACCTTTAATGCTAGTTTGTCTTTAAATATAAACTTTGAATGTATTGTTTTCTCTTTTTCTTCTCAGGTCCATACTAAGTTTCACTGTAAGCAAGCACACATTCCAGGATCAGACACCTCCTGCATCGCCTTTTCCTACGATGGCGTGACCCTCGCTTCACGTGGAGGTAAGGCATTCAGTTGACAGTATGCTTCTAACACCACAGCCAGCAGTTGCACAAATTGAGGATGCTTAAGGTCTAATTCTCAGTCTTACTCTTAAAGTATCTTCTCTCTTACTTTGCAAATAAGCAGGCTCCACCGCCAACAAAACAAAGAAGATTCACTAGAGCTATAGAGATGGAAACTCTTGAGTTACTCCCTGGCATGTAACCCAGTCAGGAAGTCAGGACACAAAGACAAACAGCCCATAACTCTGTGCAAGAGTCCTTCAGTCAACATATTTATGTAATGTAAATGAAAATAACTCTAATCAAGAAAAGGCAAAGTAAATAACTGTCTGAACTTTCTGTAAATATCATAATTTAAAGTCTGTCCGACCTGTTGTCTCCATCTATTTTCTAGGCGATGACACTCTGAAGGTGTGGGATATACGCAACTTCAAGAAGCCCGTGAACGTAGCTACGGGTCTAACCAACTACTTTTCAATGTGAGAATTTTAAACTTTCTTCGAAAATCTGCTTGATTCATGTAAATATTAATAATGTGTGAATTATGAACTGATGATAATGTATGGGTGTCGTTTTTCTCTGCCAGGACCGACTGCTGCTTCAGCCCTGATGATAAGCTTCTTGTTACGGGGACCTCTGTGAAGAAAGACGAGGGAAATGGAAAGTTGGTTTTCTATGAGCGAGCTTCCTTCCAGAAGGTCTATGAGATAGAAGTGCCCAAAACAGTAAGTCCTGCCTTAATCTTCACGACCACAGCTGCTCTATTTGAAGGATGTTTTTCAACGGGTTGATTTGTTGCAAACCAAAATGACCCAAAATGATGTGTAGAGGAAAACAAACATAATGAATCCACTATGACACATAATGAAAACAATGTGTATGTCATTCTTCATCCATGTAAGGAGTCCGGGCTTAAATAAATTGCTGCCTCTAAATGTTTTTTGGTTAAAACTCCATGAAAACTACAGCCGTCTAAGGACTTCATTATGGCAGCAGGACAGATTTGACCGACAGAAAATGGAGGTTCAGTTAAGTTCCTATCTAACCCAACTTGAGATGTTGCCAACGGATTAGAACTTTCTTTTTGTCCTATTCGTTACATTGTACCAGCAACTATGTAGAAGTATTCACCAGGGTAAATAATAGAGACGTATCCAGAATGGTGAGCAGAGTTGTGTCAGCAGTATCTGTTATGGAGTGATTATACTAAAACATCTTTAAAAGGGAATTCGGTTTCTTTATTTTTTGTAAATCAAATATCAAATACCCAGATTATGAAGCATTGACTAAACATTTCCCCTTTAAATTACTGCTTGTCCGAAGCTAGTCGTATTTCAGAGACTCCCTGGATGACAGATTGACGGTGGCACTGTTTTGGGGAAAACACAGGAGGAATACGAGTATGAATTATTGAGGGGTATGGAGGCAAAAGACGAGGAAAGTAAAGAAAAAAAATACAGGCCACCTTTGAGAAAGTAGAGTAATGTGACCTTTCCTTCCTGCAAGTCATTCCCACAAACCTTTGGCAAGACAGCTATTAATGCTTTTATATTCCTTTAAGTTACATTTGAAATTGAATTATCTACAAACACAAGCAGCGTGTTCCATTCACATGCACCCCACCGTCAAACATGTTGGCATGCTGTGTATTTTATACTAATCCTGCTTTCTCAGAAATCCATTTGTGGTGAGGGCTACCAGCCATAGGTGCTGAAATAAAGGGCAGAGGTGCTGTCTTCAGTAAAAAATACTTTTTTGTAGCTTCCTGCTCCTCCTCTCCTTTTCAACAGATTGAGTACTGTATATCTGTAGTCATAACAGTGAGGTCTGACGGACGCTAATGGCTTCTAGCTTGGTCTGCCTTACTAAGGCATGACACTTTAACATGAGCAACGTCTTCGAGAGAGAAGGAAAGGGACAAAAGCTGGGTTTGTGTGTCCCACTGTCCTGCCAGCCAGCTGTTAGCTTGCAAACCTTGGCACAGCATACACTCTTAGTGCACAGTTGCACTAACTGAGGGGAGTGAGCTCTGCGCTTAATGTGACCCATTTCATATTTTTTACTTGAATAAATGTATTCTTATCTATTGACATTTTGTTATCTTAAGAAGACCTTTTAGAGTTATTTAAACTGTCAAATTCTAAAGAAGGATGATTGTTGAATTCAAAGGGCAGTGTGAGCTCGTCTGAGGTTAGAATACAAAATGACTGAGCTTTGTGTTAACTTTAATTGCACAATAATTAGTTTTAGCATCAATATACTTCCTGTCAGTACCTCGGTGTCCCTTCACTTAAGTGGGTCCACAACAACAATCTGTCTCACCGTAATGGGACACTAGTGGTTGTGCAAGGGTCTCAAAATGAATACCGTATGTTCTACATTCTGTATAGAAAGTGTTGCTTCTGTACTTCTTTTTAATAGGTATAGCTCATGTGTTGTTAGAAAAGGACATTTGACAAAAGACAGCTAAATGGTTCACCTCAATCAAAAAGCACTGGTGATAATGGTGTCACTCAACAACTGTAGGTTTAATCTTATCCTTATAAGTTGTATTTAAGGTCTTCCTGCAGAGTCATTCCAACTCACTTCACCATGGTCACAAAATCGCTATAGGCAGCCTCAAAGAAAGACCTGAGATGCTTTGGGTCAAAGAGTATGTATAAACTTAACAACCCACCTCCTTTACATCAATCCATGGACACTTTTCTTCTCTTTCACTTTACAGAAGTGGGTACACATTTGGAAGTGAGTTTTCCATTGGCTTTCCACTCGTTCCACCATCTTCCATTTTGAAACTCAGGCTCATTTTCCCTGGAAAGACGGCAAAAGCTCTTCCCATCTGCTCACCCTTTTTGCTGCAGAAATGTCCCGCTAGTTTCCCACAGAATCCATCCCTGTGCCACATAAAACAATCCGGTCTAGATACTGCTTCTTGCTGCCAAATGTTTTGGCAATATTTTTTATTTGTGTTAATTGTTACCTCTTAAAAGTTATATGGTCATGTTTTCAACACGTTAATGAGCCTTTCATTTTCCTTAAAACTACTGCCGAGAAAATCCACTGACGTGTCTTAGTTTACACCGATTTGAGCAGCTTCTTGCCATCTTTCTTGTCATGTAACCTCATTAGAGGTTGAGAGTAATATGTAAGGAGAGTTTTTTGGAGGGAACGGTAAGGGTAAGCTGCCAGATTGCCCAGCCTATTTTTATGTGTTTTATGGCATTTTACTGTATGATCAAATTTGCCCCTCATCCCACATATTGTACACACCCAATGGCATCATTAGCTTTACCCTCTTTAAAAAGTGGAAATGTAGCTTTGCTGCAGATCAGCTTTGTGTGGTTGACATGCACTCAGTGAACCTGATGAATGTGCTATTTACTATGTTTACATCAGCCGTCTGCTCCTCGGATGGCCCAAGAATTTAAGTGCAGTCTTTATAAAGTGGCGTACCAGGCAGGCGAGTGAAAGGAAGGGCCACCAATCATCTCTACCTAAACAGTCTACATAACCCCAGACCTGGATTCTGGGGTACGCTTTGGAGCAGAGACTGTTTTAGGCCCATTGGGTAAATACTTCGGACACTCTTAAGCTTAATTTAGTTCATCAAAAGGGTCAGAAACCAGGTGAGACCAAGCTGACTATCGCATTTGGCTGGATCCCAAATCGAACACCTGCCATCATCATGCACTTTCTGTAAACATGTGAATATATGTTTGTGTCCTGTACGCAACTTAAGTGCATGAGTGTATCCATAGGTACTTGATATTTTGTGATTACCTTTAATTGGCAAATCTGGCGAAGTCCTTTGTTATATCTCTGTCTCTCATCTCTTGACAGTTGACCTACAAATAATCAACCAATTTCATCCACCAAAGATTGTTAGTATTTCTGATAGTGACCTTATTAAATGGATTGGGTATCAACCAAAAGTTAGTTCTTAGTCCCAGTAATTAATTATCTAGTAAAAACAAAATGAAATAAACCTTGTAGAAAATAAAAACATTGCACTTTCCTAAAACTAAGGTTGATAAAGGATCATTTCCCCACCAGTTATGTGTAGTTACATTCTCATGACTTTACACATTACGCCAAATCATATCCATAAGTGATACAGACATATTTAAAAATGAAAAAGTAAAATATCACTGTATTTGGATCAGTACTGGTAAATGAATCTTAATTAGGAGACCTGTATAGGAATGTGTATTGGGTGATAAACCGTGGCAGCAGCATACCCAATATGATTTTCATATTACATTTTGAAATCTGATATTGGCTTACAGGTGTTTTTAATTCAAAATTATCAGAATAATTAGAATAAAATGCTGAAAAGTAGAAAAAATGCACGTCAGGATGCTGCTACAGAACCATTGAACCATAACCCTACTATGTACTTTATGATGCTTCTTGGCATGTAATGGGGTCCCCTTCACTTGTTGCCGATTGCCCACGCTACACTAAGTATCTCATGCTCAATTGCTCTTAAACAGTGAGCTGTACCATGCTCTTCAGCGAGGCCTTTGTTACCAATGGTCCGTCTTTCATCCTCGCAGAGCAGTCGGGCTTGAAAAGTGAAAGGGAGGCCTTCACTGTGTTCTTTCTTGTGCATCTAACCCAAGTAAGTCTTGCGTCATGTAAAAGCCAATCGTTCCAGTAAGGCAGTTCATAATTACTGAGTTCTCGGACATGTGCCCACTCGGTGTGTAGCTGAGGTGCTAATTCGTTGATTGTCCTTTCCCTGACTGCGTTCAGCTGGTCTGTGCAGCCAAGTCTTTCAGAAGCATTGCACATTTGGATCCACTCGCCATGGACCAAACAAGGAACACAGCTGTGACTGTGGTGTCCCGTTACTGCTGCATAACTTTATATCATAATCACCATACTTAATGGGCGAGTCGCTGTTGTCTTATTTATCCATAATCAACTTTTGGTACTTTAATCTGACGGGACTAAAAAGGCTGCTACCGAAGAACTGACTGATTAAAGTGTCCTCCTTCATGATGTGATGTAATTTTGTGGACGTGAAGCGTAAACATGGATTTCTAGACTATAAACATACTGCTCTGCATATTTGGAGAGCAGTTTTACTGTTGGACTGGACTGAGCTGGGCTTGGCTGTGGGCTTCTCAGTGGATCCAGCTGGGGTGGGGGGCCCCTCTGAACGCCTCTGCTCTCTCTCTCACTGGTTTCACTGCTGACAGGATGATTTGTTTGGGTCTGATGAGGTTATTTTCTCAACTTGTCCGGGCTGCACTAACCTGGCCGTTGTTTTGTTTTACGGCCTGATTCGTCGTGCTATGTTGTGTTGCAGTGAATTCCTTTAGCTCTGACGGTACCTGCGGAGTGTAACAACATTCCTAACTGTCGTCTCAGCCGTCCCTCTCCTGTAGGGACTGTCCGTGTTGCTTTAGCAACTCTGACGGAGCAATTTATAACCATTACACATTTACACTGAAGCACATCCATAGTGGGATTTCAATGTGCAAAATGCATACATGTTGATACATGTTTCTAAAAGTGATGAGCGGTTTATAAAAACAGAATCTCCCTAAAGTCCAACAGAGCAGATTTGTATTTGTTCTTTTGTAATTTAACTGTTTTAATGCAAAGTTAATACAGTGCAAACCCTTTTTTGTTTGTGCCTATTAAATCCTATAATATAATTATTTGTACATGTTATCCGTGCATAAATGGTTTATGTGAGGCTCACGTTAAGCACATCCTTTTTAAAGCATTTTCTAGATCGTTCTATCAATTACAGCCGGCTCATGATCTGGTTGAGCAGATTAACCCTCATCTTTCCCATGAGCTACACACCACTGAGCTGTTGGCCTCACACTGTAGATACTGTGAGAGGTTCGGTTCAAATTTAAGCAGATTGTGAAACATTTTAAGTCAAAAAGTCTTATTACATGTCATACTTGCATGAAAATATTGGAAGATAATTAAGCTGTATTTACAAGATAAGAGAAATGTATTGTATATGGAATATTGGGTGTATTTTTTATATTTATATTTTATTTGATAATTTGCATTTGTGTTTGGATAGATTTCATATATAGGTATATTGAAGTGAAAACAACTAGCCCTGCTTACATTTTCTATATGTACATGCATGAGTACGTACACATACGTGTTTCTCCTCTTGTGCGTGTGTGTGTGTCTGTGATTGAGATTTCTTCCCATGGTATCCTGGTGGGAAGCTGAACAGCTGGGCGCTAAGCAGCTTTCACCGTCACAGAATCTGGACATCCCAGTTGTAGTGCTTCTCTTACCCACCCCCCATCCAACGCCCCTGTCCCCCCCACTCAGACTGTCTACTCTGTTCCACATAAAGACAAGTGCTTTCAAAATGCTGTACAATTACTGGACGTATACATGACACGCTTAAACACAACTCGTCACAGGAAGTTGTGATGCTCTAATAATGTGTGTAGAGGCTTTACTGCAGCTCTCTACGGAAGCTCACATATCACAGAACGAACAGAGGGTCTTCATCACTGTGTGTGTATTTCTCTCTCTACCCCTCTTTCACTTTCTGTCTCTATCTCTCCCACACACACACACACACACACACACACACACACACACACACACACACACACACACACACACACACACCGTTTCTCCTTTAAGGGCACTCATTCACACTTACTTATGCACACGTTCACTCACACGCTCGTGGATTTAAGTGCTGGGGGCCTTTTATTGTGATAGTGTTCACAAAAGTGTGAAAGAGTAGCAGAGTGATTGTCTGAATATAAACATGGGGGATAGAACGAGTGTGTTGGTGAGCAATGAGGCAGAAAGAGCACACACGAGGAGAGATGCTGCCAGAGGTCAACAGGTGTGTGTATATTTGAGCCAAAGCAGAGTATCTTCTGTAGGTATAAGGTGTAGTAGTAGGTTATACTGTGTTTCTTCACTTTCTGTTTGAAAACACTGCCAAATCTCAGCTTTAATTGTCTTTACTTAGAGATGTAGCGCTATACACGCACTGCAAACACTGACCATATTGCCAGGTGCCCTGCTTGCTTATTTATGCCGCTGTGTTATTTGATCTTTCAGTTTCCAAAGCAACTTGATTATCCTTGTTTACCTTGTGTGTCTCCAGCTCATGCCTTACCCATGTTCAGAGAGGCCCGGCAGCGGAGTACACGGAAACAGCTGGAGAAGGACCGACTGGACCCAAAGAAATCCCACAAACCTGAGCCTCCTGTGTCCGGACCAGGTAAAGTGCTTTATTTGTTGTTGTTGCTTTCACTTGTGCTAAACATTAGCTTCCCAGAATAAATAAAAACTTAGAAGAAAATAGAGTTACAGGAAAGGCATGCAATAGCGTGTACAATGAGTGTCCCTGGGAGACAAGTCAAAGCAATGACAACTGAGAAACGCTCATTTGAATGCGAGTAAAGTAACAAGCAACAGCTACAGTACTATCGTTATTTTTTGAAAGCGTATATACGTCATATACGATACGATATACTTTATTGTCCCCGTAAGGAAATTGTACATATACAAACATAGTGGACATTAACGTCATGTTATTAACTGGATGAACACAGGATCATGTTTGAGTCAGATGTCCATATTTGTTGATGTGTCAGTATTATGCAACCCAGCTGAAGTCCAGAGCTCATTATATTTCGCTGTTGCCTCATATTTTCTAACTGCTGGGACATAATGATAGCTTGTGAACTTTATTCGGAACCAATGGTCAATCTCTGTGGTGTTATTATAATACACACTTTCACAAATTCTAAACTAAAGCACGATCATGGACACAGTTTGAGCTTACTTTCAATAAGTCGAGGCGCAAGACAACATTTCCAGCTTCAACGTATTCCAGCTGCTTTATTTCTTTCTATGTTTGGTTTTACTTTCGCTCACATTTTTCTCAGATTGGAAAAAACTGGTTTGAAGTATTTTCAAATCAAATCAAATCAGGTTTTATTTATATAGCACATTTTAAAAACGATTTTTTTTATTACATGTAGAGCCAAAGTGCTGTACATGCAAATAATAAATCACACATTACTACAATCGCAAACAGCAAATATAAAAATCAAACACAGGGAAATGTCATGAGAATTTGAACATAAACCATACAAATAGTAGCACTGTTTTAGAACACATGTTATGAAATTGATAACCGAACTAACTAAAAGAGCCACGCCTTGCATTCAAAGGAAGGTTTTATTGACAGTTTGATATATTTAATGTTTCTTTGTTATTCTTCACTTTAAATAAGTTGTACTGTAGTAACAACTTAGATAATTAGGCCTTCATTGGAAATCAAACCACTCAGCTGAATGATAATGAATAAGGCTTTATTGTGTGTACACGTATGAGAACACGTAGAGTATCAGGTTCGGAGGAGGACAGGAAATTACATTTGAATAGTCTGCAAATTAAAATGCAGGTCCATTTTATAAAAATAATGTGGCTTTTAGAATACAGGCTTCCTTTTATATTGTTTATCCTGTGTGTGGAATAACTTTGCATAAGAGGGAGACAATGTTTGGTGGTTGGCTGTTTGCTTACAAGCACTGGAACGAGATGCCTCTCAATCCCCTAAACAACCCTGCTGCCCAACTGTAACAGGACATCTGTGTGTGTGCACATGCATGTGTGTATCCTATCCTTGATCTTTCAGGACTACCGTAATAATGTCCTGCCCCAGAACTCCATTAGGTGCACTGAAAGACAGTCAACAGCACTGAAGTACTGTAACTACCACAAAGATCAGTGTAGCTTTAACACACTACTTCCTGGAGTTAGGAAGAAAAATGTGTGGAACAACATTCAACCTAAAGTGCTATAAATCTAAAAGGCTGTTGCCAACAGAGCATCAACTTTGTTCTGTTGTCTATCCAGCTGATGATATAGTTAAAGGAATAGTTCAACATTTTGTGAACTCCGATTATTTTCTTGTGGCTAAGATTGAGCCTAACAATTAAACTGAGACAGAGGGAAAGAGCGAGCTTCTTCAAAGTGGAATTGTGAAAACACTACCTGGCAAAAGAGCCGCGTTGACAGAGAAAGAAGACAGAGAAGGTGAAGAGGGAGAGTGATAGAAAACTAGATCAGTAAGTAACACAGCTTGCCTACCTATTAACACCATTGGTGCTTACTTTATTCATAGCACTGACTTTAAGGTTTCTAGTTTTTGTGGATTTGTACATTTACTTGCTTTGGTCACTAGCGTTAGCCAGGCTGCTAGCAGTAACCATGTTGCTAAAGATATATAAACACGTCATTTAATCTCATTGTTCAAACCTGCACCGACATTAATACCACTTGAAAACGCTTTCCTATTACAGTTAACACATTATTTGTCATGTGCTAACTTGTGTGTGTCAGCGTGAATAGTGTGTCATACTGTAGTCATGTCCTAATTCTGTCCTCATTAAACATGTGGTTTTATTGTAGCTAAATCTGAACTACATATAACCCTGTAAATGTTTCTCCTGATAGGTCGTGGAGGAAGAGTAGCAGCTCATGGAGGAACTCTGTCTTCGTTCATCGTGAAGAACATTGCTTTAGATAAAACCGACGACAGTAACCCACGACAGGCGATCCTCCGTCACGCCCAGGAAGCTTCAGATAACCCGTACTGGGTTGCTCCGGCATACACACTGTAAGAAACTCTAATTTCCTCATTTGAGTTATTTACTGTTACTCCCAGTCCCCCTCATCTCCTCTCATTTCTGGGTTAGCTCTCATTAGCAGACGGTGTAAGATGAGTATCCGAAGCGCTACTCATGCTATTGTGATGGTACTTGGGTTTCTTCCTACCAGTGTGACACATACATGTTTAAAGAGTTTTACAGGTACACACTCCACACTGCCAAAAGGAGCGTAATGGCCGACTTTAGATCTTTATCGAGCTCAGACAGCTATGTAAACGTGGAACAAAGCTGCAGCCAAACACAGACTGGTTACAACACTCAACACAGTTAAATAAAATACACTAGTGATGTACATTATAGTAGATGAATCTAATAAAGTACAATTCCTCTGCACTTTGTAGCTATTTCATCTGCTTCCTTAAGCCTCCGATGGCCTCTATAGAAGAAAGGATTTTTCCAAAGCTGTTTTATTAAATTCTTAAATCATGCATGTGATCACAGCTCCGTCATCTGGTTGTTATCTTTAATTTGCTGTCCGTTGCTTTGCTCTAAAGTTGTCTGGAGAATAAAAGATCTGCTTAATAATGACCCATCATTGTTTCCCTTCAGTACCCAGCCAGAGCCCATGTTTGCAGAGGAATCAGAGGAGGATGAGGAAGCTGAGAAGGAACCCGAGTGGAAGAAACGCAAGATCTGAGGAGCCATAGCAGCAGCTCATTTTATATTAGATGGCAGACAGGGTGGGCCTGTGTTTGTATATTCATCACAGTAACCATGAGGTCTCAGGATCAATCCAAAACAATGGGTTACACTCAGATACTTTGCATTGGAGCATCACTTAAGTTACTCAATTGTACAGACCCTGACCTCCCTCGTAAAGTTTGCATATATGTATTTATGTGCCTACTTCTGTGTTAAGACGCAGCACACACATGTGTAGGCATTTTAACTGTGCAAGCTTAACATAGTTTTATACCGTTTTGTTCATGTTCCCCTCATTGCAATTCAACCTTTGGTAGAACTTGGCTTTTTATGTCGTTTTTTGATTTTATTGACTTTATTTTCATTATTTCTATTGTCCTATCCTCCCACAACCCTGGAGTTTTCTAATGCCTCATAAATTGTCTCCAGATTTTGTGGTCTGGTTGTGTTCATCAAACTATGAAGCGCAGTTTACTAGTTTGTAAAAAATAAATTGCTAAGAAGTACACAATCTTGCAGCCAATTCCATTCTTTTGTAGTTTGTTATTTTACAAGGTTTGACTTGATTACAAAGCTGTGCAGTTTTATTTGATGTGATATACAAAACTTCTCTTCCCTTTTTGATTCCATAGATTTCTTTCCTACGTTCTATATTTCACCTCTAAAGGGATTTGTATTCTCTTGTCAAATGTATATTTATTTGATCTCAAATGAAGTGATATCTGTTTTGACCACCTGATCAAAGGCATTCTTCTGCCAAAAACGTTTTTATGGGGCACTGGCTCCAATCTGCAGATATAAAGCACACCCTGTCCTCGCAGAGCCTGGGTGATTGATAAACTTCACTGTAGATAAGAAATGACAAAAATTATAATAATCTTATTGTCAAGGTCCACTTTCATCCATACCTCTCAGTCTTAGGAGGAATATGAAATGCAACCTTGAGCCCAAGTACCAAATTGTTTGTTGTCTCTTGGGGCTCCAATTGCTTCCCCACTTAAATGTGTTGCATTAAACTTACAAAAGCAAATAATGTTGAAATAACTGTATTGTATAGCACACCTACAACATGGTGGAGCTTTTTCTCTATTTTCTCTTTGTGTTCAATGTCTAAACATATTTGAACCGACAGAGAAAACCACACCATACAGATCTAATGAAACCCATGCTTGTGTTCTTTATACATCTCTCAGGAATGCAACCAAGCAACACTTTACGTGAGAGTTTTCAAGTACAGCTAGTTTGTAGTTTGTAGCTAGTTTGATTTTGAGTCGTATAGTTCATTCTGCATACGTCACATTTCACTGACAAGAAGATGAGGTTTTAATTATAAGTAACCCCCTCTCCACCTTCCTCACTGAATCTGATGTTACCTTACAAATAAAGACACAGAACATCTTTACACTCCATACAACATCTGACTAGTGTTTTTACTTACTGGCTAGCAATGGGTGAAACTGTAGCAGTCTTAAATTCCTAAGCAGAGTTAAAAGCAGACAATCGAATGTCTCCGCGTCATGGCATACTTCCTGTAGCCATAAAATGAATTTGAGTCAGAGAAATACAAAGACAAGAAATATGGAAGGACTAAAACAAAGAGTGATGTTTTAAAGAGCAAAGAAAGTGGGGGGTTTAGAGGAGATAGGCTTCATGGTGGAGACACTGACGTCAAGGTCTCCTTGAGAACAAAAGTTCTCTGCCAGCAGCAGGAGGTGAGGACTGACTGCTTTTTGATTCACTCCACCAGCGTGTGATCAACTAGTTGGCACGTGGAGAAGAGAAGCTGTGCTCGGAGATGAAACCTTATCCTCCAGTTGCAGACATTTTAAGATACAAACCTGGCAAATGGTCCTTTCCTTCAACTCTGAATGTATTTTGTATCTTTATTGCAGTACCTGAAGGTTTGCCTATGCCCCAAATACAGAATATGTCCATGCTAGTTTTTGTGCACAGGTAGATGACTCAGTAATAAGACAAATAAAACACATCCATTTCGTTTTTTAGCTTACTACTTCTGTCACATGCTCGGTGAAATAAACTCTTGGTTATTTACACATCCAAACTTTATGGGGCAAAATATCCCTCCTGTTTCTGGCTACATGGTTATTGTTAGTCCCATATTCTCTACTAACTCATCATGGAAATGTGTGTCTCGTTAGCTGAAACAAAACATTAAAGTCGTGGGACTTTTGAAAACAAAACATAGAGCTGAAAGATGCCAAAACGCTCCGCTGCAGAGTTGTGTGATAATTCTCTAAGTTTGTCATAAGCCACCTTATATGTACACAAGGTCATTCCAGTCATTGTTCATATACAATTATTGATAACAGCTTAAATGATTAGATCAAAGCAATGAAAAGACAAGCCATATTGCAAACCAAAGCGCTGTCAACGGCACAAAAACTGAATGTTATTTAGAGGGCCGAAATATTTGGAAATTAAGTTGTTAGACTTGCAACTTGGTATTACAAGGCTTAAGACTTGACTTGGACATATTAAGCTCTTGTAGTACCTCAGCTATACATTATATATACACCTCAAGCCCCTGCTCAATGACTCAATGTTTGTACTGATGCCATCTTGTCATCAGCATTTACAGATTTTCTTTGCGCAGTGGAAACATTCTCCAGCGCCTTGATTTACAGCTCAGCAGTGCATTACAGATAGCTTTTGTTTACTGTTCGACCCTGGGCTAGTGTTCAGGAATGTATGCCCCACTATAGAGGCCATATCTCAAACATCCCCTCAATCTCCATTTAACCCAAATTTTCCTCCTCAATTTTACATGATGGTTGCGTAAACACACCAGAGTCACATTTTTACCATCTGGCACCGGTGCAGTATTGTACATGGCAAAATACCAGAAGACACATACATTTAATAGAAACAAGTTTAATTCTGTAAAAAGTTATAAAATGAATATTGTACAAAAATAAAGTTTGCAGAGAGCTTTGGTTCTGTAACACAAAACAAGTGAGACGACATGACACAGAGGTGATGACACAATAAGGAGCGATGAGAAGTCCAATTACTTCGTCTAATATTAACACTAAGGATTTATTTGGGCCTTTCTCTTTTGCTTGTTTACCTTTGCATCTAAACCACAGGACTTCTCATCAAGGAACAGTTGAACAAACAATCATGGAGATGAGCTAGTGGTCACAGTTTACACACTTTAACGTATAGTAGCGTAGAGTAGCGAGGCACTCTGAGGCTTCTGGGAAGTCTCCTAACTGCATATTCTCATCTGGAAAGGCTTATGCACAAATCAGTTGTTAAAGGGGAAGATGATCCAATTGATGAGGTATGCTGTGATAAAAGCTAGAGTTGCTTTCCCCTCTCTGTGTAGTGTTTGGCCTAAATTCAGCTTGATGCAGTGGATTTGTTCTGTGTGCAGGGGGATTACACAGTAAAGCTGGCTTGCTTGCTGCTGGGTGGGCACAGATACCTTGGTCCCTAATCCGTGCTACCATCAAGACCTACACGAGGGCACTCTTTGTTCCACTTAAAACGATCCCCTTGCGGGGTCTCAATAGGCATAGCAACATGCTTTTAAAGAGCCTCTTCTATCCTGGATGTATATTTGTGTATAGTTTGGGAATAAACCTGGCTGAACAAGTCATTACATGTAGAAAGCATGTGTTGAGCTTACCCATCTACTTTGCTCTGTAATTCCAAAACATATTCTTTTGTCCAAATGTCTAGTCTTAGAGATATTTACATCAGTTGTGTGATGACAGCTACAGCAGTTAGATCTTCCTTAAACTGCCTTCACCAATATTTCTTTGCCCACAGGGATATTTGGTTAAGACTCGTGTTAGAGGATCACTTCCAAATCCCTTTTCAGGGAGTAAGACCTGTCTGTCAGAGGCGAGACAGAAACACAAGCAGTCTTGTGAACTTTAAAGCCTATTGGGACAGTAACCGCTGCAAAGCCTTTGCTCAGACTTGGTGTAAGGCCAGAGTGAGGTTTCGGGTAACGCACGCTGATAGGCAGGCATTCTAGCAGCTTCTGTGACTCAAACTATGGATCCTCAAAGACACCTGCAGGTCCTCAGAGACCACTACTCTCCTTCTACTACTCATTTTAGATTTCAAGTGAAAGATGTTGTGGCTCCCATTTGGACTGAGATTAAATCTCTCCTGGATTATTAATTGGAAAACTACAATGAAAATAAACAGCAGCAAAGAGTAATTTGCTGAGAAACCCATCTGGAGCCCCCCTTGTCTTAGCATAGTCGCATTTGGAAAGTTGAAGTGAAATATCTACCCTGCCGTCTCTCAAAATGCTCCAAAAACAACAGGTCAATTCAGTCCGAAAACATATTATTGGTCCCCTCCTCTGTGTCTCTTTCTACCCTCCCTAAACTGGATAGCTAATTATGATTCTTTGGAGTCATGACTTGAGAGACCCTGGAATCTAAAGCGAATAAGTATTTTTAGGATGTATTTAGCAGTTCTGGATCACCTTTTATAGATTTAGTTTGAAAAAAAGCTCCACTATCCTGGACAAACAAAGCTTTTAAATAAATAAAAAAACAACAACAATTTCTTTTATAAAATGGATTGAAATAAATAACAATAAGTTAATTCCCATCTTAATAAATATACCTCTTACACACACGTGTATATATATATGTATGTATATATATATATATATATATGATTAGATTTTATATAGATGCGTTGCACCAAAAAGTCTTTTCTGAACTCCCATGTGGTATTTTTTCATCCATTGGCTCTGAATGTAAATGTCAACATTCAGACCATGGAGTAGTGATTTAGACTGCAGCTGAATATACTCCTCATATCTCTGTTCATCTGGAGTGCAAGGAGCCAGCTAGGGAATACTGATGTTCCTGGGAAAATGAGATCCACCAGAAAAAAAGCCAGCTTAGTCTTCACTTTTCTTCACTTCCACTTTCTTTAGACAGTACAGTTGGCAAATCTGGAAGTGTAACAGTATTGTTCCTCCCTCAAATTGTTACAGATATTGTACGTTTCTGCAAGTGTATGACCGGAAACTCCAAAGTGGTCAGGAGGGATGATGACTTAGCATGGACTGTTGAATGTAAAGTTGGATTTTCTTTCTGTATTGACTGTCCCATCTTCCTCATGTCACTGAGAGGTGGCCTTATATACTTCCATGTGTCTCCTTCGGAAAATACACTCCACTAGATATCCCATCAGCCCACAAAGACGATCCTTATTTCACTGATTCAGGTCATGCCTGTCATCATACACAGGCACACTTCCTGGCAGAATGCTTCTTCAGTGTGTGATACGCATTATTGTCGTCCAAGAAAGACAAGTCATCATCGAAAGCTATTGGTCGACAGCAGGTGCGAGAGGGCGTGTCCCTGTCCAGCTTCTTGTTGTGTGTGAGGTTTTTGAGGATCTTGTCATAGTTTGTCTCCGCCTCCACACAGGGCCCACTGCAGTACCTGAAGATCAACTCCTCTTTAGTCTGGTATCCTAGCCTCAAGTCTGTCACATTGAGATGGACCTCCTTTAGCAAGCAGCCTCGGGTCTGCACTGATATCCCCTCCCTCTCCCTCCCCTTCTCGCCTCGCCCTCCTTTACCCCCTCGGCTTCCCCCTCGCCCCCGGCCACGCCTCCTGTCGCCATTTCCTCTCTTCTCGCCTCTCAGGCCTCCCGTGTTTGCTGCTCCCCTCTGCTTCTGCTCCCTCCGTCCCTTGGAGCTCTCGCCGGTCTCCGATGATCTCCGGAGTCTGCCAATGGTAGCCTCAATAAAATCCATCACATCATCAAATTGCTCTGGATAGGGACCTGCGATGTCATCTGAAACATACAGGGGGGAAATATTAATTTATTAAGCTGATAATACAAATAATAATGCCATAACTGACATAAACTTTTAGAAATATCACCATAGTATCAATAATCCACTGCTTTCAAAGGCTGTATGAGCATATATACAATTAGACTTCAAATATGCCTTTGGGAAAAATAAAATATGAATCAAACATAATAAAACTAATCGACGAGTATGAAAAACATGCAGATCATTGACTGCTTCCCATTAATTAGAAACTCACATTTTAAATTAACGATTGTCTGCATGCACAGTGCATTTTTCCATCACATTGCAGCCAACACTACTGCACAGTGAGCCAAATAAATAGATAATTATATGTTAGTGTTGATTTTATTACTATTTAAGTGTTAGTTTCTCTCTGCATATTGCAAGTTAATGCAGCTGGAGCAGTTAACCTCGTTATTACCAAGGAACAGGTAGACATTTTTGGAAATAGACACAAAGACTGGAAACGGGGAGACAGTCTAGTGAACGCCAAAATTGAATGTGTGTATTTCACAAATTGCAGAAATCTAGTCTTTTAATTGCACAAATGCAGATACTTATGTAACAGGTAAATGAAATAAATTGATCGGTTCAGCAAACTTGAGACTGAAAAAGACATTCGGGAAGAAAGTAAGGAACACAGGCTGCACAGAAATGCAGAGGAGTTCAAATAAATACTTAGAAATGTGCAGATCAGAAAAGGTGTGTGGTGATTTATGGATAAGTCTGATGCAGAGATGTTCATATGGTGGGGCAGGTGCCCAGCATTGACTCTTTCAAGATGTTTGCGGATAAGTTGACAGATAAAGTTACAGTTGTAAGTTACATTTCGAGAGTAGTTGTAGTAACTTTTTGAAACAATAGGATCAGGCAAGCATGATTTTGCATTAAGAACATGGGCACAGTCCAATTACACCACCAAAACAGAGACGCACTTAGAGATTGTTTTTCAGTCATTTAACTCTTTCATGGATATCATTTTTTGAATGCCAACACTTCAAAGGCCATATAAAAGGATATCATATGCTCTGAGTCATTTAGATGAAGCAGATTGTACTGTAGTCTGCTTGAAACTGAAAACATGCACCAACACAGCTCTCCACCATCTGCTGGCAGAAGTGATGAGGACAGAGTGGAAGTCTTGGACCCTCCTGTGTTACATGTTGATTCTATTATAAAGTAAAGACTCTCCTACTCTAACGCCTGTGGGTCTGGCAACAGTGAACCACATATGAGAATCATGAAGACATATTGCTCCGAAATGTATCAATTGGTCCAACTCTATCTACATTACCTGTGTGTCTGTGTGTGTGTGGGTTGGGGATGTGTGTGAAAAAGACAGGGGACAGGGTGCAATGTCTGGCAGGTGGTGTTGTGGTTAACAGTGCCTCTCTATTGCAGTGTCGCCTATCTCTGTTGTCTTACCTGTTCCTCTGGCAGCACACAGGCTATCTGATCTGCTTGCACTCTACAGCTGATTGGGCCGCCGCTCGCATATCAGGTGAGCCTGGGCCAATCTGTTTAGACACACCTGCCCTTTGATTTAGACACCTCCTATTGTATGTCCGCTGACAGGCGACAGTGTACACCTGCTCACAGACTGGGCCGGTGGCAGCAAACGGAGCGATTAATGGTGCAAATTGTGCCATCATTGGCTGAATACTACAATATCAGTCTCCTCTTACAGCTTCTATCTGCAGATTTTAGCTGTTAAAAGTAAGAGAAACCCCCTTTTTTCTCAGACGTTACACAAAAACTAAAAGATCCATCCTCTCTTGGAGCTACAGTATTGTTTACACTATTAGTGCATGGCTAATGGTCTTGGGTTACAAAGCACATCAGTGATGTCACCACGGCCCAAACAAGAATATGAGGTGGCAGGACAAACATTTGTCCAAATGTTCCATTCCTTATCTAGGTCTTGGCTGCTTCTACTTCTGTGTGAAGATGATACAGTGTCACATTGGTCCAAACAAAATAAATCCCTGCCCACGGTCGCTGTTAAAATGAACATAAACACAGAACTCTCGCTTGATGCTTGAAACTTTCCGGTGTTGTCCAGCCTCTCGGCGGGAAATTCCTGTAACCTGGTACACCCCGTATTTTATAAAACCATGAATTCAGACTTTTGGCGGATGGGTAAAGGTCATGTCATATGTCGCAAAGAGGCAGAGGTGAATATAAACAAAGGAAGAAGGAGAAATGTGGAGAGCGACCTCCGGTATCGGAGCTGCTCACACTCTTATTCATGCTGCTGGCTTGTTTTGACATCAGTGTGATGTAACCCACAGCAGCAATAAAACACAAATTAAGATCTTCCCTCTGATAACCTTCCTGTCTGAGAGCCTTATCAATGTAGGACTCTCCACTCTTGGCTCAACCCACTGAGTATCACTTTACCTGCTGTTTCTCACGTGTAATTAGTGTAAATTACTTGGCAAGCAAATCAACGGTGTCACATTCATGTCTAAATTTCCCTTTAAAAAATCTACAGTATAAGCTATGGGCTGCCTACTATTGCTCTCACAAGTCAACACATGGCTGAAAATGTTAGTTTCCTTTTTAACTATATGATTAAATAGTTAGTTTCATGTTATTTAATGCAAAGATATTTTATGTGACCCCGATGAGAACCAATTATCCATCATTCAAGAGACAATTTCAGTGACTGCACGGCACTGAAGTATTTGTCAGAACATGCTGTGCATAATGTCTTACATTGATCCTCCATGGAGATCTCCTGCAGGTTGTGGTCTTCACGCTGGTACGTTGGCTCGTCGTCCTCCACAGACAGGGATGCAGAATCACTGTAGCTGCTGGAGAAATAAGTCCTCTTGGCTGGCTGAGTGTTTTGGTAGAGAGGCCGTGTAGCAACAGAGCTCAGGAGCAACAAACACGTGGCCAAAACATCCCATAACTTCATCTTAGACTCAGTTCCTATGAAGAAAGCTGCAAAAATAGGAGAGGATATGTTTTTTTAATAGGGAGATAAAACAAAATTGATAATCAGAATCAGAATACCTTTATTCATTAGAAATCACTACTACTACTACTACTACTACTACTACTACTACTACTACTACTACTACTACTTATAAAGGAGTCTAATACAACCACAGTCATCGTGTAGGGCAACTCTTGTTTATAATGAAGTCAGCAAAGAGTTTGAAACAGTGTGGTCAGGCCTACCCTGACTCATTGAGTATTTATAACTTTGTGTCATCATGTCAAGAGGCTTTCATCTTCACATTGTCTGGCTTTGTTGTAAATATCAATATCAGTTGATGGAGTTAACCCACCAAAACAAATGCTTATAAATGAATGAAACAAATATTATGAAGTCAGTAAAATTACTAACTTAATAATATCAAGATATGCAAACAATATAGAAAAAATGTTTTAGGAAAAAAATTGTACGTTAGTGCGTAAAAACCCTGTGTTGTTTTTAAAATGACAAGCATTTGTTATCAACCAGCAGCCATGTAGTCACTACGGACCAATGAGAAATATAAGAGGATATGATCATGTTGTTGTTATCAGGCCAGCTCTTGCTACTTGTAATGAGGCACGGAGGAAGAGCCTCACAAAAATGCGTTGGTTAAAGCACGCACCAAAGCGTGTTGGCAACCATAGCCTAAATAATGGTGTGAGTTGGCCAGATGGCGATCCCCAAAGCTTGCGTGACTCTGTCTAATGGCATGTTGAGTCTGCAGTAAACCTAAACAGCTATGCATAGATAAATACTAGTTTATGCGAAAGTCCTAACAAATGCACAAGTTGCATTTTAATTAGCTATTTCAACGAACATGGGAGTGAAGCGTGTAAACCATGTGCGCACAAACATTCAGGAGATATTACCATATATTTATTTTACAATCTCAAATGATAGAAAATATATTGCTTTACTTACCTTAAATATGGGCCATGCAGACCTGAAACTCGCTTGGCTTTTGTTTTTAAAATCCAAAACAGAAAACGCGACTCATTGAGTGTCCCAAGCCGAATCCACTGCATGGATAGTTCAAAAGCAACAATCCGAAAAATTCCTTACAAGGAGTTCAATTTCGGTTCATGTCTTGATTGAAAAAAAGATGAAATTCCGCACCAGGTGTGTTTTTCATACTCCGATCCGGCGCAGCAACCAAACCATGCGTCTTTCCACACTTTGGAGTCCAAAGGTAGGTGTTGAAGAGAGCGGACCAAATGCCACTGCGCCTTACGGGGTACAGTTGCAGTCGCTGATTAATTGGATGCTACGTTTCCACGTTGGAAATCTGAGAGAGTTCCACCATCTCCGTCTGAAAGGAGTCCAATGAAGACATCAGCGTCTCCAGAGCATAAGCAAGGCGCAAAAGGTGCACAACATCGGTTTCCCACAGAGCAGAAAAGCTCCCGTCTGCTTCTTCATAAAACAATTGAAGCGTCGTTATATCCAAAACTGATTTAAATGTTCATAATCGCCAACATCTGACAATATCTTGACGTAGTAAACAACTCAGATGGGGGTATTGATTCTCCATTTTCTCCGGGTCAGATAGTGTTTGTAGCTCGAAGAGTCACCACGCGCGTCGTCCTCATACTGGACTGAAGGAGGACAGATGTCTGCGCATAACACCGCACCGCGCGCAGAGGGCAGTTTGGAGAGATTTATAGTTAAGTGCGCTCTGACGTTTGGGGCAGTTGGTGTCCGCCCCTCTTTTATATATCCCCGCAAGAGCAAACAGAGGTCCACATATCTCTCCAAACCACCCCGGGAGCCCCGTTTGGAGGAGCGAAGTTTTCAGATGTCTTGGGGATTATGTCACACATCCTGATGTCCTCGGATTAGATTTCAGTATGCGGAATGCGATTTGGAGATGTTCTGTTGCGATGCATGTTTCTAACCTGATCTCCGCGCTCTCTTTGCGCACCGGTGTCCAGTTCCGTCTGATACACATCTCACATTTAAGTGTCCCTCTTCACTTGCTATTTACTAGAACACATTTGTAAATAGGCGAGAGAAGAATTTAGGGCACAGTGGACACTTTGATAGTCATGTTAACCTATATTTATTGGCAATATATTGCACTCCAGATTTATTACATACACATGTATCTCACATACACACCTTGGCGCATCTGGTCATTCAATAAGCATGGCCTGGGGCAACACTGCACAGACCACAAAAGAAGACCTGTAGAAAGGCTAAAATGGCACCTGAGAAAGCCTTTCCATCACCCTTCATGATTTACAAGCTGCACCCTCCTTTCATCTTCCACACAACTGAATTCCACAAGCTACCCAGTCCTTAAAGAATTAAACGTGTTGTGTTCATGTGCCAGAAAAGTCAGACTCCTTCCAACAACTAAACACTTGCTTTTCCAAGAATCTGGTTTTAATTTAACATGTGAACTGCTGCTAAAGATGGCTGTTCAATAAAGGGATAGAAATCCCAGCATTGACACTTTAAATCCACACTGACTTATCTGTTATGCAGTGGTATTAAGGTTCATATTTGTTTGCTCATAGACTCAAGCTTCCTGTCAATACATGCTTTCTTTCAAGCATTTATGTGCGCCCTGCCCATTCTGAGAATACATGGAGCCAATCCTCATTGTATGGATTCCTTTCCGTCATGTTCTCACATGGTTTCTTTGCAAAACCTGACAACTTCTCATGTTTCGTTTGTTATGATACAAAACTCTGAATTCATGTAATTTGTTTTGGTAAATGTATGATACTTTGACCCTGACTTAACTTATTTAATGGAGCAGACTTGTTTTTATGGCAAAAAAGTCCCTGGTATTAGTCACTGCTGACAGTCTCCTGCTATTACTGTCCTGCTGTTACAGGAACATATCCTCTCCAACTTCCAATACCCTTCCAAACTATTTTAATTGGACGACGTAACTAATGTCTTGGAATAGAAATAGTCTGTTTAGTATTTATTACTAGTGTCTCTTTCATGTAATATAAATTCCAATGACCTGGATGTTGTGTTCATGAGCTGTTCTGTCATAGCTGATAGTGAGTCCAGTTCCTGTGATTTAGTTGTTGCAGCAATCCTTCCCATCAACGGTCATAATTCTCTCTGCCCTCCTGCCCTCACTTAAGCATCACACTGGCTCAGGGTTAGTAGCTGCCCCATAACCATTCAACATAAAGCTACAAGTCAAATGGTAAAACAACAACATTTGATTTGGTTCAACAGGAATATGAATGTGTTCTAGGAACAGGCCTGTGCAATGTGTCAATGGGAAAGCCTCCAGGCTCCTATTTACCCTGAACAGGAATAAACAGGTAAAAAAGAATGAATTAAAGGAAATCATACTTAGGTAAACAATGACATGTCAAACACTGAGTCATTTAAAGGCAGATCAGAGCGTTGTTAGAACGCTTCGGCTCTTCAAGTTTAATTCAAGTTTAATTCAATTTTAATTCAATTTTAATTCAATTTGATCACAAAACGTTTATTGAAGAAAGTGAGAAATCGAAATCTCTTTCTTTTCAATTTTAGAACAATTGTGTAATAATATAATTACTTTTATTTATTTTATAGGGTTTTACATGTCTTGTTATTTCTTACTCCTGTGCTTTATCTATCAAACCCTTTATATAATGGCTCATATGTATATCTGAATATGACAATTTGTGATGCATATAAATAACGATAATCTATTGTTACATAGATTAATGAAAAATGTGATAAATCATAATACATAGTAAACCTTATTATACACTTACACATTAATACATTCAGTACATTTTAAAATACAACATCATATTGAATATATTGTATTCCACTAACCTCATAAGTGTGTTTTTTTTGTATCTATGTTAATGTATGTATTAATATTCATGCATGGAAATCAGTTGATGAGAATATCAAAAAGGTTATAAAATTATAGCTGCAACTTACTGACTTGAATTGATAATATTTCAATAAAGAACAACAGTTTTGATACTTTGATAATATATCATATGAATTTTTTATTTGATTATCACACAATAATTATGATTATAACAAGCACATTTAAAACTTCAGCTTGGGCACTCAACATTTTACAGACCAAATGAATAATCATCAAAAATAATCAATATAGAACAAATGCTAGTTTTAGCCTGGCATAATATGTTAACATCGACGAATCAGTGTGCTTTAATCCTGTGACTCCCTTACATTTAATATATTATGACCATTTATTTTGTAGCACAAAATACATTCTAATTGTAATGACTGCAGATTTTCCATATTTATTTTTGACACGTCACTGCATATTGCATCTCCGGCCAGGACATAGCTGTAGATAAGACAGACAGAGGCCATATTGTTTATTGATATCTTGCAGCAGTGTCACGATAGGATCCCTCTGTGACTCTCCTCTGTCTCATACAGATAGAGCTGAGAAGATAATGGTCACTCAAAATAGACCCATCTCACAGAGTTCCTTTATGTGAGAGCGCTGCACAGTCCGGGGGTGACATAAATCCCCTGAGCTGAATACTTGAGTGACTTTAATAAATACAAATTTGTTTGGAGGGGGAACATGAGTAAGCCGAACGAATCACCACCACATGGGGTGTGAGGAAGAGACGCGTCACTCTCGCTGAAGAGCCCTCTTTCATTATTTCTGCCACCGATGGGACAAGCACCTCAATGTTTGATGGCAAGTCGCCAATGAGAAATGATGGGCCATCCACAGAGTTGATTTGAGCACATAACACCATTCAGGCAAACAATCCAGATCAATGCAGCCGTTTCAGCTCAAATGTATAATTGTAAATCATAATTTGAAACATGGTTTGTTATTTTTCTTGGTTTTTTAGTGGCTGGTGTTCTTCTGCGTATGATATCCCTTTTAATTTTAATTTGGTTTGTTTAAATCATCTTTTCTGTTCAACCAGCAACCTGTTCATGGTTATGTTAATGTGTTTCCCGCCTCTTGAGTAAATGAGTTACTGTTGTATATAAAATGCGATAAAAGTGTGACATCTGTTGGCTTGTTTAGCATGTTCCATTCCAACAACACAATGTCTTCTTTCATGAGTAAAATTATGTCATTGCACTATACATGAGTCCCTCAGGAAGAGGATGCAATAAATTGAACTATACTAAAAATCAACTGAAAACAATTCAATTGGAGCATTGTTTTGGTTTGGAGGATTACAAATGTGTGTTTGTCAGATCACCAAGATCCTAGGGGTACAACTTCATCTGTGTTTTCCCCGGAAAGTTGTGGATAAAAAAATCTAGTTTTATTCAAAGTAGTTGCCTCATGAAGACATGTTTTTCCCATAGACTGTACAAGATGTTTCCTTAAGGTGTTACAGGAAATATAATTATATTTAAAAAGCAACAACTTCATCTTGTAAAATGTTTGAATTAAAGTTGAACATTTTGTAGTGTTCAGCATAACACCCAAAATCCATCACACATCCATTACAAGCTATAATCTTAAAGGGGCCCTATTATGCTTTTTGGGGGTTTCCCCTTCCTGTAGTGTGTTGTATAGCCTACTATATGATTTTGTGCATGTTAAAGTTTTGGTCTGCAAAGGCTAAAATCCCCAAATCCAGGACAGAGGGAGTTTCTCTCCCACACCCTCCCCCTGGCTTCCTCCATTGGACTCCTTTGTTGACATATGTTACACAATGACATCACAATGTAACACTTGTGCTTCTATTGGCTAGCGCTCCAACCCTTTGTACATTAGGCTAAGTGGCGGGAAATCTCTAAGCTGTTGACCAATCACGACAGAGCCAGCCAGCTAACCAATCCGAGCAGACAGGGCTCTGGTTTCAGACAGAGGGTGAAAAGAGGTGCTGCAGCACAGGCAGTATGAGAAAAAACATATATGACACTATAGAGGCACAAAATACAAATATGAACCTGAAGATGAGCATAATATGTCCTCTTTCATTTATTTAAGGGCAGTAGCAATGCATACAATTATAAAGATGTTCCTTTCATTATCTCCAGCAGCCCAAACACCACAGTGCTTTTGGCTGAAAGGCGGATCATGACAGTGGCCTCTCACTGTGTATTCTGCATGAAGTTGTGTGCAGGAGTAACGGTTGTCTGCCAGAGTGAGCTCAGCTGTCAGCAGGCACTGAGCCCTGAATCACCCTTGGCACAGAGATGCAGAGACAGAGAGCAGGTAGTCAGGGCAGATCCAGAAGCATTCTCATAGCCTTCAGCTGATCCATTAGGACATGCTACAATTCAGCCGTGGCACACTACCAAATGCTCAGCCATTGTGGCACTCAGAGCAGTATTCCCATCTGCCTCAGTCATTGCTCAAACATTTTATGAGTATTTGTTGGCATCATTCATGCATAGATTGTATGCATGCAAAAGTATTTGCTAGCATGTGTGTGTGT